GTATTGCAATCTAAATGTGGGCGGGGAAGAATCCTTTGCAAACGACTTGAATGGGAACGGGGTGCTGTAAACAGTAGAGTAGCCTTGTTGCTACGATCTGCCGAGGTTAAGCCCTTGTTCTATAGTGTTATTCGACTCTGCTTAAGCGGAACTCACTCTTCGGCAGGCGCAGGGAGTCCCAGATAATAAAGTCAGTCGGTCCCAACAATCTGAGTCGCGAGCCTCGCGGGAGTCCTGTCGCATATCAAGGCTAAGGCTGTACCTCTTAATAAAACTTGCGCACCGGAAGTTCTATATGAATTTTTACGAGGCAGCATGTTATCTGGATATGCCGAAAATTGTTTGCTGGTCTTGTAATTGACTTGATATGCATAGTCGCCGTAGGATATTTTGGGGACGCAACGGGCTCTACGGAGAATCTCCCTGGGAGGTAATTCAGACTGCCACGGTCCTACTCGGATTCGTAATTTCACCTCGCCAACGTTGAGCGTGGTATTTTGGCAAATCCCGCTGCAGCTGTTCGTTGCTGACTCCTGGTTTGGACAAAGAGCTCAGCCGCAGTCTTCTCCGAATGTGATTCTGCATATGGCCCGCACAACGGTTAGTCTACACATGGCTCGTACAGAAATTGAATGATCAGCTGCCAATCAGTGTCGATGACGATGTCTCCCGAAAGAATTAAAAATACAACCATCGCTAAGGTGCATTCAGCGACACCACGTGAAGGGTACGAGCATTCAAGGGTCTCAGCTTGCTAGTACTGCTGGAGTTTTATCGTGTGCAGTGATAAGCGAAGCCCTCTTGCCGTTTGGTAAGGAAACGAAGTGATCGACTGCGGGACACAGGCACAAATCACGAGCTTCACATTTGGAATCGCAGGAGGCACAAACGCCGCGAGCTTAAGGTGCAGCAGAGGCATGGATAGATGGTTCCAACGTTTAGCCACCGAACCAAGAACCAAAGGAAGTGTTGCACCAGCCTCGATGGTAGCCCCTTAAGGAATTCACGATTCGACAGGGCCCGGAAATGACGACTGGTGCAGCCCGCCACGGATCAGCATAGAAAAGCGTGCACCCTTCATGCAAGGGTGGAGACATGGCCTGAATCTCTTGTGCTCCCGGGTGTGAAGCCAGTTGCGAGCTCCACTTCCAGGAAAGCCTGGTGCCGCTTGTGACCCGGGGCTGCGAGTGTGAGGACTCGTTGAAGGGCTTGCGACGCTCGCCCTCGCTTGCAACACTCCCTTCATTGGCCCCGCTGTTTCCTCCGCGAGCGTGCAATCGCTGGCGACATCCGACAAAAAGCGCACTGGAGGAGAAGAGCACGGCACTGGAGAAGAGCAAGGCTCGGCAGAAGATGTAGCAGGCTCGAGCGCTCGTGCGGATGGCCTCGAATTGTATCGCGAAGGTGCTCACAATCTCACCTTGCCAGACTACTTCCGCTCCCAACAAATGGAAACTATTGTGCGGATGCCAGCAAACGCTCACAGCTTCTTGCATGCCTCGCAGATCATGAGCTGCGCTTCCACCTGTTCGTGCCGCGAAGAAAACCCCGATGATGGTAAAGCCGTGAAGAAGGCCTGTCACGTCCAATGCCCTTGCTCACCTTCGACGCCCTTGGTCACCTCCGGCGCCCCTCCGACGGCAAACGAACGGCCGCACAGCATCTCAATGTCCAACCCTCTCCAATTTACCGTGGAATCCTTGCGCAATGACTCGGAGCCGAGCATCGTCCACGTTGAATGTCCTGCCACGCGGGCGTCCGCTGGCGGGAGAGCGAGAAGGAAAGTTGCAACGACATCTGTGCCCTACGCAGCAAGTCAATGATGAGCAGAGAGCAACCCCCACGCAATATCATCTGGCGACCGGCAATGCATGCTACGGTAGCAAGCGCCCTTCTTAGGTTGCTGAGAAATATGACTTCGAATCGGCAGACGGCCCCTTTGTGGACCCTGATGCAGAGCACAGCAAGGAAGTACACGAAGATAGGGATGCGATTGACTGTGTTAAAGATAAAGCTCGGACATACAAGCCAAACTATCCAGCCAAGTTCGGACGCGACAAGTGGGGGATGTGGAAGCGGTGCAAGTGGATCGAACAGCGCCTGAGGGTTTGTCCTGGATGGTCTGAGCGAGCTTGCCACCATCGCAAAGCCCCAACAATGATCCGCAAATGCGACTGAGTCGACGACATCCACCATCATGAGCAGGAAGAGCGCCCTCGAAGTGAGACGCGCAAGATTAGGGGATATCCGCTTGCGATGTGCACTTTGCGGCTGAGCCCAGCCTGGTCTCAATCTTGGCGTTACTGGACCTCGCTTTTGCGGCTGATCTTGGCGTGATCTTGATCTTGACATCGTAAGCAAGATCCTGCTTGACAAGCTCCTTTTTTCATGGTCAGATCAGCCTCCCTTCGAGCCATCAAGCTCACTTTTTATGGCCTTGCGCTTGCGCCTCTGCGAGAGCGGTGTTCTGACATTGAACAATCAAGCAAAGTGGTCATATAATGTCACTAAGCGAGCTGCCTCACGCACGGTCTGCCCACATCGAGAACAAATTGTGCTGCATTACATCGCCATGGCCATAAGTCGAAGTCGCTTCGCTCGATCCCCGAAGTCGAACGGCTGATGAGCGGATGGTCGAATACTGGGCGATTCGTTTCGTTCAGCAAACAGTTAGCAAGGCAAAGACAAGCTTGTGTTTTCCGGCATAAGGGGGTATAGACCGTTGCTATGCTCGGTACTCTGCGCTCTTGGATGGCGGAGTGTAGCTCGGCTCTTCAACTTCGGTCTCGGAGGAGGCGGTTGACATCGGCGCTGACCAAAAGCTGCTGGCATCAGAATCTGTGGATGGGCTTGTGACGCTCCATCTGTGCAAGCCCGGCGGAGTGACGAACGCACTGTGAGGAGACTGAGGCGGTTTTTGAGGCTCACAAAAAGGGGAGATGCGCCTTTCAGGGGCGTATGGCTGATAATCGTGGCTTTCGATGAGGCCTAGGCGCGATGCTGTGGCGTCAGCAATTCGTTCCTGCCATAGTCCTCCGCATCGACTCTGCTGAAATGCAAACAGATCCGGGAAGAAGAAGATGTCGTAGATGCAGAATAATGTGAGGTGGTCATCAATCGGCCTTGTCATAGTACTGTACTGCGCTGCTGTGGAGGGCGTGCCAAGATATTCTGCCCGGAATTCGCTGGCCAGTTGACCAAAGAGAAGACGGCTGCGTTGGGACAAAGCCGGGCACCTCGTGATCGACAGCATCAGACCAGGATTGTAAGCGCGTTTGGAAGGATGCATGGTTGCTAATTGCCAGAGTTGCAGATCTTGAATGCCACGTAGGGGCACGCCGAAGTGCCATAGCAGGGCGTCTGCGAGATTTCGCGTGTCGAACACCATCTTCTGACGCTGTCCGTCTCCGAGCCAGCTGCGTAGGCCTGTGGTGCTGTCGGAGTTGCCGAAAGCGCTTGGGCCCAGCCGAAGAATGTCAATGATGAAGCAGTCGCCCTGATCCTCCTCTTCTGGTGGCACAGTCCAGATGATCAAGATGGACAGCACGCCCTTCCTGCTGCAATCGACCCCCTTGGTCGATAGTCGCGATATGCACGACGTCGAGTTGAGTATCTTCATCATCGTGTCGATACCCTGCAAGGTATCGACGAGTACGGTTCTCGGCAATGGGGCAGACCAAGCGTAGGATGTCATCTTGGCGATTATCAGACGAGCAAGGAGGCTCGCTGAGCTTTCTCCCGGGGGAAGAGAGATGGAGATGGTGAGTGGGATTTGCTCGATATATGTAGGGACGCGTGTGTGGCGCATTCAAAGCCGCCAGGCAGCGTCAGCGCTCAAAGATCGGGGAGCTGTCTAGAAGCATCCATCGAGCATCGTTGCTAGGTCAGGCCTGACACCGGGCTGCCTCTGCACCTCGCCCATGTGCTTGTTCGCAATACTTGTTAGTAAAAGACCCGGTTCCTGAAACGTGGATACATTGTGCCGCAGGGTCACTGACTATTGGTGAGAACAGGCTTGGAGCTTGTCAGGCGGCTCAACGGTGGCATGTTGGACGATGGCGCGAGCGCCCACAAGTCAATGCTGTGAAGAGAGGCCAAAAGCGGATCCAACAAGCTTATCGAGACTGCTCTGACTCCTTGAGGGCTCTGACGGCACACGCTCCCTGCTCTTTCGGGGGGCCAGTTGGGCGCGAACGAATTAGCGTCGGAGTAGCCAAATCGGAGGAAGATCATTGTACCTGCGCTTTTTACAAGAATAGAGTTGCACCTGCGAACCTCTTACGCCACAGTCTCACAGCCCTGTGAATATTCCGCCTCCTCAAACTCTCATGGTAGGTGTGAGGCAGCACATCATCCCAAACTTAGAGGCTCTTCAGCATCAGCGGAAATCCGTGCTGACTAGTGTTAGGCTGGGGTCTCGCCGAAGTCAGCATCTCACGCAAGATGCTTTGTTCGGACACGTACGACGAGATTGGTTGGCCTGGGAGCCCTTGTCTCACAATAGGCGTTGGGCGTTAATCAGGTCGGCGTATCCTCGGAGCTTTGCGAAGCGCCGGATTAAAACGCGTTTACGTATCGGGCACAAGCGCTCGTATTCTACCACAGGCTCCCGGAATCGGACACTTCAGGCACCGCAAGTGGTGATGCTCGTGCACAACAGCGTGCTGTCGAGAATGTTCTCGTTGTAGGCCGCATGATTTCAAAGATAGACGACGAAAGACATGATCAAAAGCAGCAAAGATCTTGCCGCTGAATGAAAAGGAAACGGAATATTCGGCGGACCGTACTCATTGCGCCGCATTTGGATATCCTGTGACGCCAAGTTGGAGTACCCGCGGCTTCCTGGGTGCTTGTCTTGCCTGCCTCGTACGTCTTCGAATAGAGGAGCAAGCTAGCAGCACTCGCGGCCCCTGCCAGCCCTTTCACGACCATTGATGCCCCCAACACCTTCAATTGAAAGGTAACAACCATCCAGTGCGTAAATCCATCCTTCGAGACCTAAACAGGGGGAACATTGTCTCAAACGAAATTGTACCAGTTGCAACAGCCGCAAGTGCACGCACCCTCGGCCGCGACACGACTGACGTCAGCACCAGCGCCATTACCGGCAACTGATGGATTCTCCAGCGCCCTTTCCGCCCATGTTCCGAATGTCTTCCCAACAACGTACCTCAGGGGCAGCACGCTCACCGGAGGATCTATCACCGGTGAGCCAGAGAACCTGTCCACCATCTATGAAGGACGCGCAATGAACGCGCGCATTGTTTTACACAGACATTTGGGCTACCGCCGAGCGAAGGAAACCCATGGCCCTCTTCGCGACATCGGCTCTCTTCGGAACAGGAATTGGTCTTGTTTTCGCCAGGTGGATTGAACAAAACCCTTCGCTGGGGTGGCGGTGGATTCATTGGACACAGGCCATCTACTCTGGCGTGCTCCTCGTCCTTTTGGCACTGCTGCCCGAAACAAGAGTCTCTGTCCTGCTCACAAGACGAGCAAACGCCGTTCGCAAAAAGACTGGTAATGACTGCTACCGAGCTCGAGGCGAGCGGGAGAATTGATTCATTCTTGTCATGCTCAATGTGTCACTGGTGCGTCCTTTCATCTTCCTAGCAACTGAGCCAATCGTTATCGCCTTTTCAACGTGGGTCGGTTTCTGCTGGGGACTGCTCTATTCGCTCCTCTCCAGCATACAGCTCGTTACTGCGCTTCATGGATTCACGCCGGATCAGACCGGCCTTTTCTTGTCCATCCGCCTAGGGGCGCTGGTCGGACAGATGATTAATCCTCTGCAAGAGAAACTATACCTGCGGCAATTCCCAACCAAAGCTCCCGAGGCGAGGCTATATCGCGCCTGTGTCGGGGCGCTTCTTGTCCCAATCGGGTGCTTCGTCTGTGGGTGGACCTCTTTCTCCTCGGCAAGCATTGCAGGTCCGCTCGTCGGCATCGTCATGACCACCACTGGTATCGACCACATCTACCTCCGCGTACTCAACTCCCTCGTCGACTCGTATCTCGTCTACACATCCTCGGCCCTTGCAGGGCAGTCTCTTCTGCACGAACTACTCGGCAGCGTCTGCCCTTTGTTTGTGGAGGCAATGTACAGAAGGCTGACGTATCCCTGGGCGTCCTCCCTCGCCGGCTTTATTGGCTTTCTCTTTTCTCTCATCCCATTTGTCCTCATCTTAAACAGTCCACGTATTCGTGCTAGGTCGCGCTTGTCACAGAAAGTTCAGCGGGAGGGGGAAAGAGAGCGGACATGAAATGTTGTGGCTGATCAGACTCTATCATGCATACAATGTACGATACACCCAGCCTCGAAACTCGGATGGCATCACGCATTGCCCATGTTCGCAATCTTCTCCTTCTCCGCCTGACTGAGTAGGGCTCCATACCGGCCTTTTCCCTCCGCTCGCTCCATCGATCAGCAGAACGCTCTTCTTTACCATAGAAGAGACAAGAGACCTTGACGAGCTCCTCGCACACATCGACGACTCGGTCTCGATTCGACGATGGTAGCATACGTCCCAATTCATCGAATTGGGTCCATGCTTTGGGTAAAGATGCTTGATTGGGAATGGTAAACATCCTCACCCAACGGCCTAGAATCCGCAGTGCATTGACAGCATTGAACGACTGCGACCCGCCGTTGACCTGCAGTGTTTGCCAAGATCAGCGTAGTACCGGTTTCAGTCACAGCTCTGCTCACCTGGGCAACAGCCAAAGTCTTGCCTTGGGTCGGACGTACGCTTCCTAGAGAGAGAAGAACGTGGTCGATCATAGTCTTCATGATGCCTGTGAGGTTTCCGTGCTGCTCCGGGCTGCACCAGAAATTGGCCTCGCTCCAAATGATGA